GGCCCAACGGCACACAGATAAATACACACAAATAAAAAGACTCCCCACATCTTCCAATATTTACTAGGTTTTCGTCTTCCCCCCCACGTCCCATGTTTTCCCATATTTTCCTGGGGATCGACGATTACTTGTGTCTGTGTGTATTTTGGTCCTCCTGATTCTCGCCTGGACCTCCAACTCCCTCCTCCCTCTTGCAAGCTCCGGATCGATTGCCAGGACGCGCCGAAGCAGCGCCCCCGGGGGCGTCCGAAGGGAAGGCCGCCAAGATGGGGGGGCCTGCAGCCATGGCCCAGGGCACGTGCGCGGCCCCAACGGGGGGGGCCAGGAGACGCACCGAATGCAGGAGCGGCCATGGAACCCAGGGAGATCTCGTGGCCCAAGCCATGATGTCCACCCCCCCTATCCAGCACCCCCACTTATGGGCGCCCCCGACAGGAGCCTCCGGACCAAAAAAAACTGCTCCCAGCTCGGAGCCCACGGCCGACAGGGCCATGGCGAGAGAGCCCAGAATCGAACCGATGAGTCGGATCGGCGATCGGCATGAGTCGGATCGGCGGAAATCGGCAGCCGAGTCGGGAAAAGTCGAATCGGCGGCAGCCGGCAGGCCAGTATGCCTCCAATGAACAAAATCGGAACCCGACTCGGAATCCCAAGTCCACCCGAATCGGAGTCGGGAACCATCGACATCGACATCGAATCGAATCGAACCGGCGGAGTCGTAATGAGCCCGGCCAGGGCCTCGTGCTCCACGCCGAAGCCGCGGGAACGCGCCGCCGCCGGGGCGCCCCGCGGCGCCGCCCAGGCGCGCCAGGCGCCCTGCCGCCGCCACACGGCCGCCGCCATCCCGCCGCGGGGGGGCTCGCGGGGGCCCAGTCCGCTGCGGCGCGCTCGGCGGCGTTGGCCTGTCAACAGACGCCTCCCACGTGGGGTCGGAAGATCGCGGAGGAGGAGCAGGAGGAGGCGGAAGAGGACTGGCGACGCATCGGCGACGCACTGGCGGCGTCGGCGATGCACCGGCGACGTCGGCGTGGAGACCATCAGTCCACGTCGCCGATGCGTCGGCGGTGCGGCGCCATCCTCCGACCCCACCCATCCGGACCCCGTGGTCGCGGGACGGAAGGGGGAGGGGGCAGTCCCTGAGATCTTGGCGCTGCGATTGGTTCACAACGGGCGTCTTCGCCCAGTCTCGGGCCCGAGGACCCTTACAAATCGATCCAGCTCGAAACATGGCGCACAGAGAGATGGGTTCTGGGGCTCCCGTGGTGATTTTTGGGGACGCTGAAAATTCTGCGCAGCGTTAAATCTGAAGGGAGAGGAAACCCCCCTCCAGCATGCGGGCCGCAGCCCATGACCCAGACCGAGGGAAAACAAGCCTCTGATGGTCACCCAAGCCGCCTTCGCAGGCGGGCGCGCGCAAGTTTACGACGCTGCGGCGAAGAGGAGGAGGAGGAGGAGGAGGCAACGTCAGGATGACCCACATGCCATCATCAACGGATCAACAGGAGGAGGGGGAGGAGGAGGAGGAGGAGGAGGAGAAGGAGGGGAGGAGGACGTCCACAACCGTGAAAGGTACGACCGCATTCATCATGCATAGAAAAACAAGCGAGTTAGGCGGGGCCGCACGGGAGATCCTCGTCCTCAGGTTCCTCCCCGCGCGCCCGTCTGGCCTCCACCTCCCGACCCAGGGCCTCCAGGTCCTAGCGGGCGTGGCCGATCAGCGCGAGGCCCCTCAGCAGATCCGCGGCTGGAGCCTCGCGCACACGGCCGCTGGACCTGGCGGCCTCCCGAGCTGTCGGGGGCCCCTGAAGGCCCTGGGACCAGGCGGTGAAAAAAGAGGTCCACTCACTCCTGACCTCAGGGGAGGGGTGCCCTGCATACGCCATCGCGAACCTCTGTGGATTCCGATGGGCTGGATATCGTCCAGCACGAAACTGTTCCAAGCAAAAGGTGCGGCCCCCAGAGGCCAGGGGCCGACACAGAAGGAGGAGGAGGAGGAGGAGGAGGAGGAAAAGGAGGAGGAGGAGGAGGAAAAGGAGGAGGAGGAGGAAAAGGAGGAGGAGGAGGAGGAGGAGGAGGAGGAGGAGGAGGAGGAGAGGAGGAGGCAGGGAGGGGCAAGGGAGAGGGCGAGGGCAGGGAAGGGCGATGACCTCAGCACGGAGGTATCCGAGGCGACTGTCATAGCTCCAGGCCCTCCCATGTGGGGCGCAGGGCGCGGGGCCCCGCCGGCCGCTGCGCGCCTGGGCCGAGGCCGCGGCGGGCCGCTCCGGCAGGAGCTCGCGCAGACTTGCCATCGCTCGGACGTCCACTCTCCCCGTGCGCCTGTCGGTGTCGTGCGGAGCTGTGCTTTTTGTTCGCAGGATGGTCCAAGATGGTTCCAGGTGGTCCAGCCTTTCTTCCCGCGCTGGCCTCGCCGTGGAACGCGCCCGCCGTCCATCCGAACGATGCCAAGCGTGCGTGAGGCGGGGAGGGCCACCCGAGACGACGCAGGGAGACCATTGAGATCCTGGCGCTGAAATTTGTGCTGATCCCATCGTGCTTAAGGACCACATCCCAGAAATAATTTCGAGCACCCAGAAAAGTATCGAAACAGGCTCGAACGAGTATCGCCCCCCAGGGCCCGAAGGCTTAAGTAGGTTGGAACATCATGAGCTGAAATTTGTTTTCGCGCTGGGCGGTTCTGCCCTGCTTCGGGCCCCAGGGCCCTCGCGGACCAACCTGGCTCGAGAAGCGCCGCAGAGAGATGGGGCCCAGGGCCCTGGCCGTGATCCTGCGCGACGCTGCGACCTCTTCGCGGCGCCGCATCTGCGGGGGGCAGCGGGGGTGGGGGGGGGGAGCTGCGGCGAGAGCGCGCGGGCTGCCGCGGGGGGCGGAGGACTCGGGAGGGAGGCGGGAGGATGGAGGGCGCACAGTGCAGGCGGAGGGAGGAGGGGCGGAGGAGGGGGGGAGGGGATCGCCTGGAAGGCCGGAGGCCGGCGGCCCTCCTGCACGAGGCGGCCCGCCCGAGGAGCGGGCGCCCGGCGCGCTCGCCCGTCGCCGCTGCACTTGCGCGGTGCTGCTGCTCGCCCCTCCGACGCCCCCCGGCGCGCGTGCCCCCGTGGCTCGCCCAAGAGAGCTGAGCGCGGGCACGCCAGGCAGGCGGAGGAAGGACGGAGAGACCCTCCTCCTCCTCCTCCTCCTCCTCCTCCTCCTCCTCCTCCTCCCCTCCTCCTCCTCCTCCTCTCCTCCTCCTCCTCCTCCTCCTCCTCCTCCTCCTCCTCCTCCTCCTCCTCCTCCTCCTCCTCCTCCTCCTCCTGGGAGGGGAGGATCCTCGAGATCTGACGCTGTGGGGAAAGTGCAACCCCGCGAAGAATCACGGCCCGAGCCTCAGAGCCCGTGTCTCTGCGGCATCCTTCGAGCCGGATCGACCTGTGATGGTCCCGGGCTCGGAGCGGGGCGAAATCGCCCGACGCCAGCAAAATACAACGCCCGGACCTCAGGGACGGGGGAAGCGGTAGGGAGCCTTTCTGCTGCTGCAGAGTCTCACGGACGGATGGCCGACCAGCTCCGCGTGCACGAGCCTGCGGCCGTGCGACAGGGGGGCAAGGCGAGGGGGGGGGCCTTCTAGGAGTGCAGGTTCGGGGAGACGTGAGACTCGAGTTCGGGGGACTCGGATTTGCCTGACGGGGCCGTCTGAAAAATAGCGGGACCTGATTTGACGCGAGCTCCCGCTGCAAACATCTCACGCCTACTGGACCTCAAAATTCACACTGGGACCGCCGCAATGCGGCAGCATACCCGAGTTCCAGCAAACAAGAGTCGCGCGCTTCCACACGATCGCGGAGGAAGTACGGGCGCGGAGGACCCTGCGCGCAGCAGGGCCCGGAAGCCGCGGCGCGGAGCAGCAAAGCAGGAGCCGAGAAACTCAGTACTTCCACTGCTTGTTCTTGCTCTTGGCGCCCTTCTCCTGAGGGAGAGCGTCAGGGGGGGGCCAGCTCAGGGGGAGAAACGTCAAGCTGGCATCGGCATTCCATCGCCGATAGGTGGGCGATGGGCTCCCGACAGCAGATGCGAAACGGCCCTGGGCGTTGTGGGCCATCGATCCCCCTGTCGGGGATCAGTGGGCGATGGAGGGTCCAGGCATCCCCCCCTCAGCCCTCCTTCTCCTCCTCCTCCTCCTCCTCCTCCTCCTCCTCCTCCTCCTCCTCCTCCTCCTCCTCCTCCTCCTCCTCCTCCTCCTCCTCCGCGTTCTCTGCCTATTCCCCCCCCACACACCGTTGCCCCCGATCTCCGCCGCCCTCTCCAGGAAGGCGGGCACGGGCTGCCCGGCCTCCCGGGCGATCTTCGCCAGGGCGGGCGCGCACTCCGTGTCGTAGGCCTCGTTGAAGAAGGTGATGGACGTGCCCGCGTTTCCAGCGCGCCCTGTTCGACCTATGGCGAGGCAGGGATTGATCCATATCCACCGCCTGGGAACCGACGTCCTGGTGCCCCAGCGGGCGGTGGATATGGATATATTTCGGCCCCTGGGGGCCCGAATTTGTCCATATCCACCGACTGCCGAGGCTCCGAAAACTGACCCTCCAGGCGGTGGTCATGTACAATTTCCCGCCTCGGACCTATTCTGTGGATGCTCGGCGGCACGCCCAGGGGGGGGAGGCAGCGGGGGCGGGCCCTCTCAGAAGGCTAAGATGGCATCTGGCCTTCCGAGAAGCCTTCCAGGCTCTCTCCGAAGCAACAGAGGGCTTCTGAGAAGCCCCACCGCCTTCTGAGAAGGCCTGCCCCCTCTGCCTTCCCCCCATTGGCGCGCCGCCGAAATGTAGCTCTGCACGTCCCTTGCCATGTCGAAATTGAGAACGTGACTGACGTCCTTGATGTCAAGCCCGCGGGCACAAACGTCCGTGGCCAGCATGACGGGTATCTCGCCCTTCGTGAACTTGGCGAGCCCCTCGTCGCGCTCCCACTGCGTCTTGTCTCCATGCATGGCCACGCAGTCGTAGCCAGCGTTCCACACGGCCTTCTGCAAATTATTGATACGATTCTTGGTGTTGGCGAAGATGATCCGCCACCGGGCTTGCCGCACGATAGGTCAATGTTCACACTCCAGAGCAGCTGTCAAAACGTATCCGCGAGTGGGCGGCAGAGGAGAAGTGGTCCGACGCGAGAGGCGGCACTGCGGCCTCACAGCGGCGGCTTACGCAGGCCGTTCGCGCGGCACAGGAGAAGGCGCTCGCGCGACCTCACGCGGGCAGCCTGCGCGCAGGTGTCCGAACAGCCAGCACTTTTTCTTGGGCCGCTCGGGGAACCGTGGCTGGTACGACTTGGCCGCACAACGTCACGCATCTGCGGCGACGTTGAACCCCTGGACGCATTCCCGAGAGCAGGAACGGGTAGGCGCGGCGGCGCGATAAGATGATCTTCGTGCCCTCAGCCATATCGTACATAATCCTCCACAACTTGTTCTCCTTCTCGTCGTCGTCTAGCTTGAAGAACTCCTGCGTGACCGCTTTGTTCGCCGCCAGCTCCTCCGTCTCGCCGACGTTGACGTGAACGAAGTCCTTCTTCAGATACTTCGCGGCCAATTTCTGAACAGCTTTCGGCCACGTGGCGCTGAAAAGAAGCGTCTGCCTCTCCGCACGAATCTGCCCCATGATCTTCTCCATTTGCGGCTCAAAGCCCATGTCTAGCATTCGATCCGCCTCGTCGAGGACCAGGAAGACCACGTTGCCGAGAGCAACCGCCTTGTCGTTGGACAGGTCCACTAGGCGCCCCGGAGTGGCAACCACGAGATGCGGCCTCGCCTTGAGCGCTTTGACCTGGGGCGGCTTGGGCACGCCCCCAAATACAATGGCCGTCCTGACGTCTGCGCACTCGCCGAACTTCTCGGCAACCTCCCCGATCTGGGTCGCGAGCTCCCGCGTGGGGGCCAGGACGAGCTCGCAGGGGCCCGCGGTGGGGTCCAGCTTCTCCTTGACCACCCGGCGGAAGGCCGGCAAGAGGAAGGCCAGCGTCTTGCCACTGCCAGTTTTGGCGCAGCAGACCTCGGCGAGGCGCGCTCGAGGGGATGTGGGCGCGGGGGGGCACGGCCCTGTAGGAGGGCACGGGGAGCATTTCGGACGCCCTCCGAAGGAAGGAACAAACAAAAACGGGGCGGCCAGAAACAAGACTGCACGCGGAAACGTCGGTGCGTATCCTAGTCATCGTCCATCTTGGTCACCGTCAATTCGTGGATCGTCCTCGCGAATCAGCGACGGCTGGCATGGACACACACATTAAACCACAGCGAACCCAAGGTCTGCGAACTTGCAACGTCCAAAACCCGGATAGCGACGCGGTCCAAAGCGCGTGAAAGTGTTGCGGGAGACGCTTGCAAGGACACTGAAAAGCATGCCTGGGGAGCTTGCAAGCTTGGAAAAGCAAACTTCGACTGAGCTTCGAAGGAGCTGCGAAGGACCTGCGGAGAAAGGCTTCAGGCACGCGTATTGGGAACGAGTAAGAAAACGCTTCTCGGGACACGCTGCAAGTTCAAGCAGGTCGCTGCGAGGCTCCCTGCCCGGCGCCGGAAACAGTTTCTGGGCCACCCTGCGCTGCTGGCTTCTAATCCGGAGCCATCTCAGCTCTCAGCGAGCTATCCAGAAACAGGACAGGCAAGCCGAACACGCGCAAGCAGCCGGGGGGGGGAAAGGGGAAGGAACAAGGAGAGAAAGGACAACAACAACAACAACAACAACAAAAAAGAAACCCGATGAACGCCCTATCCAGGTCCTGCCGAAGCGCCGCCGTGATCCAGCCACGAGGCGGAGGGAGGGAGTGCCCAAATCGGCTGGGTCCTATGTTATCCCGTCTGCCAACTTGAACTCCTCTCTGGGCGCCCCCTTACAGCGGCCGCGGGCGATAGATTGGCTTTTGCTATCGTTTAACCGATCCCCATCCCCAGCGGCGTGGCCAGGGCCCCACGGGCCGATCTGCCCCCCCTGGATGGGGATATAGGCCGTTCCCTTCGGGTTTCGAGGGGTATATCCCCAACTGGGGGGTAATTTGATGGGGGTCTCGAAGGGGGGATAGGGATGGGGATGGGGGTCGGTGAAACGACACTGACTCGTCCCGCTCGCCGACCCGATTGTCACCGAGCTCCAGCGTCCTTGCCACCAGGGGCACCGGCGGGGACGCTGGCTCGGGAAGGGGGAGCGAGCAGGTCCTGCGAGCTCACATGTCAGTTCTGACATGTCGTCCCCTCCGCTGACGTCCCCCAGGAAGGAGGGAGGAGGAGGAGGAGGAGGAGGAGGAGGAGGAGGAGGACGAGGGAGGAGGAGGAGGAGGAGGAAGAGGAGGAGGAGAAGGTAAAGGGAAAGTGAAGAGGAAAAAAACATATTCCGAAGCTCTGGGCTGCCGTTCGGCGCCTGCCCGCAAGAAGCAACGACAAGAAGGGCCAGATCGGTAAACCTGCGCTGGAGCTAATGGGTGCACTTACCCAATGCTTGGTGGGTCTTGGTGCGTTTCTTCAAGTGGGACGCGCAGATGCTACTGAGATAATTAAAAGTGACTACCAGCCAGTCGCGATCGCAAGCCCTGCAGATGATGAGAGCCATTTTGGCGTTTCCACAACGGTCGTGATGATGATGCTCACCCTTTTGAGTGTTATCGTGGCGAGTGCAGCTTTCAATGTCAAGCAGCACATCGACCGTATCATGCAGCCAGCACAGAAAGAAGCCTCAACCCAGTACAGCCTGAAGGACACGATGAAGAATGGAGCTACGAGTAAGCTATGTTCACAGCTATGACCATAGACAGTGGACGAGAGTTTCTACGGCTACGGCGGGTGGATCGGGCTATCTCGACGTATACGAAGGCGATGGTGGTCGAAGCATGCGTGGCGACCGCCCTCAACGAGATCAGGCAGGACAAGATCTACAGTGTGGATGGGTTTGTCGGGATTTGGCACCTTCACTCGCTGGCCATGATTCGATATTGATATGTTTCCAGATTACGTGCCCGATCTTGGCATGAAGCTGCAGATGGGCCCGAGGAGGAGTGCAGGAAACAAGGGATATATCAGTGATTTGAGTGAGGATTGTTGTGCATGCGCTGTTGTAACATTTGTGTACTGTGGAGAGCCAGTTTGGGCTCAGTTCATGCTGAGGTGGAAAAGAGATTTCACCAGCCCTGTCGGGCAAGGTCCGTGGACCCCAGCTTCGCTACCCGAAGTTATCATTATTTCAGCACTTGCAAAAAAAACACATTTTTTAACAACCACCAAACAAAAACAAAACAAAAAAAACAAAAACTTAAAAAATGTACAGGAAGTCAGTGATTTGGGCCTCTTCGGGCGTTCTTCGAGGTCCACTTGGAGGCCTCTTGGGCCGTCTTGGAGGCCTCTTGGGCCGTCTTGGAGGCCTCTTGGAGGCTGCTCAGGCCATCTTGGGCCATCGTGAGGCAATCCCTCCCTCCACCTCCCTCCGCCTCATCCTCCACCTACTCCTCCACCTCCCCTTCAACCAACCAGATCGCATCGGGAGCGCCCCCGGATCGGCGGCACTGGCCAAAGGCCACTACAATACCTGCTTTCGACGACCGATGGGTATTTTCTTTGCGGTATTGTCCTATGCCCACTATTTCCTCTGCGGCTTTCAATGGAAACCATAGGTTTGACTCAACAGGCGCCGTTCGCGGGGGGGGGACCTCCGCGGCACCCCATGACCGGCACGTCCCAGGGGCCCATTAACGGCACAGCCCTGAAACGCGCTGACGGACACACCTCAAGAGAAGCGTGTTCCCCGTGACCAGCTTCTCCTCCTGAGCCGTGTCTTGACGGTCCTGGGGCCCGGCGATGGTCCCCCGGAGGCCGACGGTGGCCAAACGTTGTTGTTCACGACGCGAGCCCATCTGGGGAGCACTCCTCCCGAATTCCGCGCGCCGCCGGGTGACCAGGTCGTCCCCGCGCACCGCCAGGGGCCAGCCCTGGGCCTGGATGGCCGTGGGCGCCGCGAACCCCGCGTCCCGCAGCGCGGCCTTCACCCTCTTGGGGAACGGCGCCGAGCCGAAGGCCTCGGCCGGGCCCCAGGCGTGCGCATGCTCGCGCTGCGAGAAAATCAAAACGGGAGCCTGGAGGCCTCCTGGATGGGGTCCGAATAGGTGGGGCGGGGGGACTGCACTGCATCGCCGATGAATCGCCGATGCATCGGCGACGCATCGGCGATGCATCCGCGAAGTCGGCGACGCATCGGCGACGTCGGCGTGGGGGAGATCGGGCTCCGCGGCGCGATCCTCCGACCCCATCTACTCGGACCTCATCTAGGAGGCCCAGAGAGGTCGTTCCCCGATGTCGGCCTCCAGAAGCCCTCGCCGGGCCCCGAGACCATCGAGCGACGACCCGGGGCGGAAAAAACGAACCCGACTTCCGGGGACCCCGCATGGAAAAAATCAGGACATTGCACGTCTGTGAGGATTTGCGGCGACGGCGGCGGCAACAACGGCGGCGGCGGCGACGGCGGCGGCGGCCCCAAAGCTCCAAAAGAACCTCGAAGATATCGAGCCTGATGTTGTTTCTGCACCTTCGGCCTCTGGAGGCCGGTTTGTCGGACACCAAACAGAGAACATCTGGGGCGAAGCGGGTCCCAGGGGATGAAGGCGTCGAGTCACAGGATCGCCCCGCATCGCCGATGCATCGGCGATGCATCGGCGACGCCCGCGTGGAGAAGATCGGGCTCGACATCGAGCCGCATCGCCGATGCATCGGCGTCTCGGCAGGATGATCCGACCCCATCTGATGCTCAGACCGCACTCGGGCGGCCTCGAGGGGACTGGGCCGAGAGGTCTGTGGGCCCCGAGGCTCGCAGGCAGTGAGTCGTCGGAGGTCTTGCACGGCGGCGTGAGGAGGCTCCCGTCGCGGTCAGAAAGATGCGGCCATCGACGAGGCGGCTGGGACCTGACTACCTACCAGACCACCCCAACCCAACCCGAAGACCCGAATTTCCAATGTTCCCCGATCCCCCCCCCACTGGAAATGGAGGGCCAATCGGGGCCTTCGGGTTGGGTTGGGGTGGTTTGCTGGGCGGTGAGGACCCTCCCCCACCTCCTTCGGGGTCAACGTTCCGAGGATCGAGGCTTGGAGGCGGGCAACAAAAAAACCTGGGCATCCTGTGGGCTGCCAGAGACCACCCCTAGAGGAGGGCGCGTGTGCAGTCGACATAGCGGAGATCCACGCGCCCTCGGCCCATGAAACTCTAGCAAATGCTTGAAGAGAATGTGCGCCGCGCTAACTAGGGCGAGAGCCACATTTTGAAAACGAGCCGCCCTCAATCCGTGAAACTCCTGTACAAATTTGAAACAAATGTGCGCGGCGCTATGGCGAACCACACGTTGAAAACGACCCGCCCTCAATCCGTGAAACCCCTTGCATCTGTTCCCCCAAAAAATGCGCGCGACGCTAAGGCGAGAGCCACACTTTGAAAACCACCCGCCCTCAATCCGTGAAACTCTTGCAGGTTTTTGAAGAGAATGCGCGCCGTGCTAAGGCGAACCAAATTTTGAAAACGAGCCGCCCTCCATACGTGAAAATCTTGCAAATATTGAAACGAACATGCGCGGCGCTATGGCGAGAGCCACATGTTGAGCACGGCCCGCCCTCAATCCCTGAAACTCTTGCAAGTTTTGAAAACGAATGTGCGCGGCGCTGAAGCAAGAACCACACTTTGAAAAACATCCGCCCTCAATGTGTGAAACTCTTGCAAATTTAAAGACGGCCGTGCGCGGCGCTGAAAGCGAGAGCCACATTTTGAAAACGACCCGCCCTCAATCCGTGAAACTCCTACATATGTCGCTTTTGTTCCTCAAAAGAAACATGCACGCGGCGCTAAAACGAGAACCACATTTTGGAAGCAACCCGCCCTCCATCTGTGAAACTGCTGCCACTTCTGAAGCTTCAGGATCATAGATGGTGAGGAAGCCTCAGGCAAAACGACTGGCCCGCCCTTTCAACCGGCCTAGGGGTACGACAGGGAGAAGTTATCTCTGAGAAAAAGGAATGGAAGGAGGAAGAGAAGGAGGAGGAAAAGGAAGAGGAAGAGGAAAAGGAAGAGGAAGAGGAATAGGAGGAGGTGGAGGAGCAAGAAGACGTCGACGGCGGCGGCGACGGGCGACGAAGCGTCGGAATCGTCGTCGTTGACCGTGGGGCTTCGGGCAGGCCGAGGGTCGGGTCGGACAAGAAGGGGAGGGGACAGCAAAGGGCGGCTAGCGAAGCAGCTGCGTGCGCCTGGCTTTTTCTGGGGCGCATCCCGCTGCTGAATGCGATAACTCGAGGAGGAGCCAGCGGCGGGACCGGAACCAGCCGCACGCAGCAAATATCGCACCCCTCCCTCTCTCGCCAGTCCCCCCCGAGTGATCCTGCTCTGGGTTTCTTAAGAAGCGGGGGGGCACCCCCCCCCACAGGGGTCAACCTCGCTTTGTCGTCTTGCCGCCACGGCGGTCGGAGCGCTTCCGGCGCGCGGTGGCTGCCCGCGACGGGGGTCGATGTGGGGCTGTCGGCGGGGGTGACGCCCCCCCGACGCTGAGTAGGAAACTCGGACTGGTCGTCTGGCTTTCGGGACACTGCTCGGGTCTCCCGGGGCCGTTCGGAACGCTGCGGGCAACCCCGGGATGGCCTCGGCGAGGCGCAGCTGCTGAAGACGAGCAGAGGCTGACAGATCCCTGCCCCGCTGGCATGGCCTGGGGCCCTCTGGCCGATTAACCCCCCTGGGTGGGGATATGGGCGGTTCCCTTCGGGCTTCTAGGGGCCTGGCCTTAAGTCGGGCCTGTCCCCCAACAGGGGGAGTTTGGGCGAAAAATAATAAATACCCAAAATATATTCAAAAATACTCAGAAGATGCCCCAAAAAAACTCAAAAAATAGTCCCCCGACTACTTCTTGACTATTTTTGAATGTTTAGAGGGACAGGCCCGACTTAACCCTGGCCCCACCAGGGGCGGTGGGATAGAGGGGCCGACATCCAGTGGCCAGGTGGGGATGGGGATAGGCTAAACGATACTCTGGAGAGCACCCCGAGGCTGGAAAAAAAAAAAAAACACCGAGATCGGCCGAGAACCAACGCAGCAGAAGCCCGCGAACACCTCGAGCGTCGAACCCCTCGTCGCCCGCTCCGAAAAGGGGCCTGCACGGGATCGGGCAGCTCCGTCCCGGCCGTCGGGCTGGCGATCTGCATCCTGCGGCACGCCACAGGTGGGTACGGCAGGTTCGCGTCGTGCCGACCTCGGCGTCGGCCTCTGACACCGCGGAGATCCCTTCGACCTCGGACGCTCGGCCGCTTCCGAAACGTCAGCTCGTTTTCCACATCGAGCGATTCTGGGTCGCCGGCGACGTTCAACATTGAAGGACGACGGCGGGGTCGCTGCCAGTAGACAGGCATCTGAGAAAATTGCATAGAAGTACACCCTGCGAAATGCTTAAGAAATCATGGGTTAAGAAATTCATAGTCTCAGAACGTGAATAAAAACCCAAAATTTCCATTCAAATCTTAGGATTTACATTGAAACATTAAGAATGATCGAGACTCTGGCCGAAAACTTAAGTTTTCTTAAGCATCGCCTAAGGTGTACGGCAGGTTCGTGTCGTGCCGACTTCGGCGCCGGCTTCTGACACCGCGGAGGTCGCTTCGACCTCGGACGATCGGCCGTTTCCGGAGCGTCAGATCGTTCCACATCGAGCGATGCTGGGTCGCCGGCGGCGTTCAACATTGAAGGACGACGGCGGGGTCGCCGCCAGTATAGGGCGACGATATCTATACATATCCACTGCTCCCGGCCAGGCCCATCCTGGGCCCAAGAGCTGTGTATACGCCCTCCTGGCTTGGCCAGGGAGGCATATACACCGCTCCTGGGCCCAGGATGGGCCTGGCCAGGAGCAGTGGATATGTATAGACTTCGTCGCCCTACAGTAGACAGGCATCTGCGAAAATTGCATGGAAGTACAACGCGAGAGCGCGATACCTGCATACCTTCTGACGAAGTCCCGCGTGAGAGCGCGATTTCGGAATATAAGTTGAAAGGAGTGTGCGGCGGGAGCCGTTGTTGCATGAGTTCGGGATCGAGGCGCAAGACTTGCCCATGCAAAAACCAGGGTGCGAGTGGGGCCACCAGGCTGTAAGAGAAAGTGTGCTGCTCCCTGCGCCAGTTGCAGTTTCGAGTCTCCAATGTTACAGTCCTGCTTTCTGCTTCCTACTGTCCGCGAGAGGGAGGGGAGCCCCAAACCACCCGGTTACCACGCCTGGATCGCGTTGTCTGAATTCCCGGGGGGGCGTGGGACACACGAAAATACTTGAGATTCGCGCCCCCGAAACCATAATCCCAGGTAAATGACAATGTTCGCGTACCCAAGGCCACAAACCCTCATAAGTTACAAAATGCTTGCGTCCCCGATGCAACAAACCTTCGTAAAGTATGCAATGTTCGCGTCCCCGAAGCCATCAACCTTTGCAAATTGCGCCATACTCGCATTGCCGAGGCAAAGAGTGCTCCAAGGCGCCTGAAGATGGTTCCAGGACGGCCCAAGAGGGCCCAAAGAGGCCCCCAAAGCGCACTAAAAGGCCTCCCGAGAGAGGCCCAAGAGGCCAAAATCGTAGGGTTGACGACGATATTTGAAGGATGTTGGCCTTCTAGCATTTCCGGCTTTCCGAAGCTCCAAGACGGCTCAGGAAGCACACAAAACCGCCCCAAGATAGCCCATGACGCCTCCAAGAGGGCCCCAAGACAGCCCAAGAGGGCTCCAAGATGGCCCAAGAAGCGCTCAAGACGGCCCAAGAGGGCTCCAAGACGGCCCCAAGAGGGTAACCACGAACCGAACATTCAATAGTTGTGCCCCAGAAAATCCCCAGGAGGCCCCAAGAGGCCGCCAAGTGGCCCCAAGAGGCCCCAAGAGGCGCCCAAGACGCGCCTCCGAGGCCCCCAAGAGGCCCAAAAGATACACCACGAGGCCCCAAGAGGCCTCCAAGAGGCGCCCAAACCGCCTCCAAAAGGCCCCTGAGAGGCTCCCCACGACACCCCAACACCCCCATCACATATACAAGAGGCCGCAAACCCACAACCCAGACACGGTGGCGGGATGAGCCGAAGGCCACTAGGATCCGCCGCCCCCTGCTTGCAGGGGTGCACGGCGTGCTGGATATTTCAGGTTTTGGTTTTGGTTCTTTTTCTAAAAGAACTCCCCAGTGGGCTTCGGCCCGTCCCGCCGGCCACCCGTAAATTGCAGAAAATCCGTCTGTCAATGCCCAAAAACGGCCGTTTCGCTCGGGACATCCTCAAAAAATCACGAAGATGGCCCAAGATGGCCTCCAAGTCCGCCCGAGATGGTCCAAGACGGCCTCCAAAACGGCCCAAGAGAGTCCAAGACGGCCCAAGACGGCCCAAGAGGCCCCCCAGAGGCCTCCCAGACGGCCCAAGAGGCCTCCAAGAGGTCCTCCAGGAGAGTCCGAAGAGGCCAAAATCATTGATTGCATTTTGCGCCTTTTCGGCTCTCCGACGGCTCAAGACGGCCCAAGAAGCCCCCAAGATCGCCCAAGAGGCCCCCAAGAGAGCCCCATGATGGCCCAAGTGGCCTCCAAGATGGCCCCTAGAGGGCCCCAAGAGGGCCCAAGAGGCCTCCAACACGCCCAAGATGGCCTCCCAGACGCCCAAGATGGCCTCCAAGACGGCCCTGGAGCATTCCAAGCGGGCCCCAAGTCGGCCCATAGAGGCCCCCCAAACGGCTTCCGACGGCTTCAGACGTGCCAGGAACCCACCAAGATGGCCGAAGTTGGCTCGAAGCTGGCCCGAGACGGCCCAAAAAGCCCCAAAGATCGCCCAAAGCTTGCCCAAGAGGCCTCCAAGACGGCCAAGATGACCTTCAAGATGCCCACGTGTTCCCCGAAGGCTTTCCAAACCGATTCGGGGAACACGTGGTCCGATAGCTTGGCAGGTCTGGCCTCAACGTTCGGCCACATAGGCGCTTCCAAAAAGGCAGGGGGCGGCGGTGATTCGCCGTAGGCGTCTTCGATCCGCCGCCCCCTTTTGATATATGTGGTTTTTGGTTTTGGTTACTTTTCCCCCCCAAAAAAACTCCCCCTGAGGCTTCGGCCCGTCCCGCCGGCCACCCAGAAAAAATCTCAAAACGCATCCGTCATGCCTCTGGTTTCTCCAGTTGGCCCAAGATGGCGTCCAAGACGGCCAAGATGGCCCAGGAATGGCCTCCAAGACAGCTAAGATGGCCCCAAGATGCCTCCAAGACGGCCCAAGATGTACCCAAAACGGTCTACGACGGCCCAACAAGCCCGCAAGAGGCCTCCAAGACGGCCCCGTCCTCCAGGAAGGCCCGAAAGGGCAAAAATCATTGATTGTCCTAGGTTTTTGAAGGATTTGGACATTTGCGCCTTTTCGGCTTTCCGACGACCCAAGACGGCCCAAGAGGCCCCCAAGATCGCCCAAGAGGCACCAAAAGGGCCCCATGACGGCCCAAGTGGCCTCCAAGACGGCCCCAAGAGGGCCCCAAAACGGCCCAAGGGGCCTCCAACACGCCCAAGATGGCCTGCAAGACAACCAAGGTGGCCTCCAAGACGGCCCCGAAGCGCCCCAAGAGGGCCCCAAGTCGGCCCAGAAAGGCCCCCAAGACGGCTCCCGACGGCGTCAGACGTGCCAGGAACCCACCAAGATGGCCGAAGTTGGCTCGAAGCTGGCCCAAGACGGCCCAAGAGGCCCACAAGAGGGCCTCCAGGAAGGCCAGAAGAGGCCCAAAACATCGATGTTCCTATGGTTTTTGACGGATTTTGACATTTGCTTCTTTTCGGCCTTCCGACGGCCCGAGACGGCCCAGAGAGCCCCCGAAGATCGCCGAAAAATCGCCCAAGAGGCCCAAGATGGCCCCAGAACGGCCCAAGGGGGCCCCAAGATGCCCCCAAGATAGCACAGGAGGCCTTTAAGACGCCCAAGATAGGCCTCCAAGACGGCCCTGGAGCATTCCAAGAGGGCACCAAGTCGGCCCATAGAGGCCCCCCAAACGGCTTCCGACGGCGTCAGACGGACCAGGAGCCCACCAAGACGGCCGAACATGGCCCTAAGATGGCCCAAGACGGCCCAAGAGGCCCACAAGAGGGCCTCCAGGAAGGCCCGAAAAGGCCAAAATCATCTCATGTGTTTTTGAAGGATTGTGGCATTTGCTTTTTTGTCTGCCTTCCGACGGCCCGAGACGGCCCAAGTGCCCCCAAAGATCGCCCAAGAGGCCCAAGACACGGCCCCAAGAGGCCCCCAAGACGGCCCAAGAGGTCTCCAAGACGCTCAAGATGGCCTCCAACACGGCCCGAGAGCCCTCCAAGACGTCCTCCAAGAAGGCCCGCAAGGGTCTGAATGGCCTCCAGACGGCCAAGATGACCTTCAAGATGCCCACGTGTTCCCCGAAGGCTTTCCAAACCGATTCGGGGAACACATGGTCCGATAGCTTGGCAGGTCTGGCCTCAACGTTCGGCCACATAGGCGCTTCCAAAAAGTTCAAAAAGGCAGGGGCGGCGGTGATTCGCCGTAGGCGTCTTCGATCCGCCGCCCCCTGTCGATTCATCGCAGGGGTGCCTGGCGTGCTAGACCCTTTCGGTTTTGGTTGTGGCCCTTTTTCCGAAAGAACTCCCCCTAGGGCTTCGGCCCGTCCCGCAAGCCACCTGGAAAGATCTGCCAGACCCGGTTGCGAAGGGTTTTTCCTGCTCCAGACGGCTCCAAGACGGCCCAAGATGGCCTCCAAGATGCATCCAAGACGGCCAAGATGGCCTCCAAGACGAGTAAGATGGCTCAAGATGCCTCCAAGACGGTCCAAGATGCCCTCCAAGACGGCCAAGATGGCCCCAAGATGCCTCCAAGATGGGCCAAGAGGCCCAAAGAGGCCTCCAATGCGCCCAAGAGGCCTCCAAGAGGTCCTCAAGGAAGGCCCGAAGAGGCCAAAATCATTGATTGTAGCGTAAGCCACGTGACGCAAACTGTGGGAATCTCTGGTCAGTGACCTCAGAAGGCCCTTTGAGAGCCCCGAAGGGTCACCGACGCAATGTATGGGAACCTTCGGCGGGTGACCTCAGGAGGACGCTTGGGGGCTCCAGACGGTCACTGACGTAAGCTGTGGGAACATCCTGTCGGTGACCTCAGGAGGCCGCTTGTGGGCCACAGAAGGTCACCGACGTAAACAGTGGGAAGGTCTCCCATGTCACCCGTAACTGTGTCACAGGGTAGGCCTTAGGGCAAGGACGAGACCAGCGGACCTAAACGATCCGTGTAGGACCAGACCTACCTCTCGAGAGCTCGTAAGCGAAGCAAACTCGTAGATCCACTGGAGGATCCACAGTAGGAGCACTCGTGGATCCACTAATGGATGAACAGTGGGAGAACTCGAGGATCCACTAGGACACCTATAGTGGGAGCACTCGTGGATCCGGGACGGGGTAGAGAGTGAAAGCACTCGAGGATCCACTGGAGGATCGACAGAGAAAGCACTCGTGTGAGCACCCATGGATGCACAGGGGGGTCCGCAATGGGAGTACGAATGGATCCACTTCTTACTAGTGGATTTACAGTGGATCCACTAGTTGACTACAAGTGGACGCACAGTATATGCACTTCAGAGTCATGACTCGATTATGACAAGCTGCAGAACCAGACGAGCGGGTTGGGCGGGCGGACCCTAACGGGCGGGTCGGTCGGGCGGGTTCAGACGGCCATGTCGAGCGGGCGCGTCGCTGAGGCGTAATCTTGCATGAATCGCCAGGAACTCACAAGCGATAGCGCGATTCCCGAGAAAGTCCAAAGCGAGAACGTGATTCCGGAGTGTCGAGAGCAAGGCGTCTCGAAGTACAACGCGAGAGCGCAACTCCTGGGTAAAATGTGGGGAGGTCCCGCGTGAGAGCGCGATCTTCAATAAACTGTAAAGACACATCAGGAAAAAAGGGGGATCAGCTAAACATACTCTTTAAAAATTCAAATTCAACAGTTCCCGCATGATACCTCCGCACAATTTATTCAAAAAGGCGCTCTCGCGCGGGACGTCCTCGCAACGCATTCAAGAATCGCCTTCTCGCGCGATACTTCCTTGCAAAATATTGAGACGCCACGTCTTCGACACTCAGGAAGCACGCTCTCGCTCCGGACTTCCTCACGATTTAGTTTGGAATCGCGCTATCGCTCGAAACTTCCTGGCGATTCATGTTGGATTCACTCTTCAGCGACCCGCCCGCTCGACCTGGCCGTCTGGGCCCGCCCGCCCGACCCGCCCGTTAGGGTCCGCCCGCCCAACCCGCTCGCCTGGTTCTGTCGCTTGTACTCCTGCTCCTAACCCCCATCCTGCAAATCTCTCTCGTGCTTCATCATTCTCCCTCCCCCTTGCCTCTTCCCTCCTCCTTCCCTTTTCTCTTGTCTAGGGGCTGCGCCACCTACGCGTGGCAGGCAAGGAACATAGACCCCCAAGGGGGGTACGATCGAAAACGAAAAAGCGCGGGCATATACATTTCAAGCGAGCATATGAAACCGAACTATCATAAAATGATTGTTGTTGTTGTTGTGGTTGTTGTTGTGGTTGTTGTTGTTGGTTGCTGTTGTTGTTGTCGCCGTCCTCGCAGCGACCCCCCCCCACCGCGACCCCCCCCCACGCCCGCTCCATCACTCTTATCCGCAACTGCGGGGGCTGTGGCGCAGTCGGGCTGTTTACATGAGGAACGCTGAATAAGGAACGAAGCCCCTTCTGGGCGCTGGAAGAGCCCGGGTGCACGAAGAAGGCTCCTCCTCCTCCTCCTGCTCCTCCCCCATCCTCAGAGGAGCAGCCACGGAATGATCTAAGGAACAGCGAGCCCCTTCCGAACCCAAAGCGGTCCTTATTCTGGCGCCTGGGCTGTACGGGAGGTTCGTGTCGTGCCGACCCCAGCGTTGGTTCTTGACACCGCAGGGATCGTTCAACCTTGAACGATCGGCCGCTGCCGCAACGTCCGATCGTTCAACATCGACCGATTCTGGGCCGCCCGCGGCGTTCAACCTTGAACGCCGCTGGCGGGGTCGCCGCGAGTCGACACGACGCAAACCTACCGTACTGATTCTTTCCGTGCCCATTTCGATCGTGCTGAATCCTGGTGCGGTAGGCGACCGCGTCGAGCTCCTCCACGACGGCCTGCGCCTCGGCCTGCCGCGCCATCGCCGCCGCCGGCGTCGGCATCGTCGGCCGTCGGTCGTCGATCCGCGGTCCTCGGTCGTCGGGCGCCATCCTCCGCGTCGTCGACCTCCTCCCCTCCCCCTCAGCCCCCTCCCCTGTCGACCTCTTCCACAGCCTCCTCCTCCCCACCTTCTCCCCCTGGACCACCTCCTTCACCACCTCCTCCGCCTCCTCCTCCTCCTCCCCCTCCTCCTCCTCCTCCTCCCTCCTCCGCCACTTCCACCTCCTCACCACCCCCTCCTCCTCCACCTCCACCTCCACCTCCTCGTCCTCTTTCCTCGAGGCCTGCGCCGCAGCCTGTCCGCGGAGGCGTCGAGACGTCTCTGTCGGCGTCGTCGGGAGTCAAGAATCGAAAACGAGGGAAACAAATGTCAAGCATCGAGGATCGTGGCAGGTGGACGCCAGTCGTCCTCTGTGGACATCTGGAGGCCTCCAAAGGCCTCGTCGTCGTCGCCGTCGTCGTCGTGGCGTCCTCCTCCTCCTCCTCCTCCTCCTCCTCCTCCTCCTTCGCCTCCGCCTCCACCTCTGCCTCCGCCTCCTCCTCCTCCTCTTCCTCCTCGTCCTCCTCCTCCTCCTCCTCGCCTCCTCCTCTTCCTCCTCCTCCTCCTCCAACACCCCCACCTCCTCCTCCTCCTCCTCCTCCTCTCCACTCCTCCTCGTCCTGCCCTTCCCACGCCAAGACGGCTTCGAGGGCGGAAAACTTCACAAAACCATCAGATAACCACTGATGCTAGCCTTCTCGCTTTTTCTCCTTCGAGGGGCCTCCGAGGTCTCAAGGTGGCCCCAGGATCGCCCAAAAGAGCTCCAAGAGAAACCCGGACGAGATCGAAGACGGCCCCAAGGGCGCCCGAGAGCGTCCCGAGGAGGCCCCGAGAGACAGTGCTTCGGGCTCGTTCATCGGTGCCCTTGAAGATGGCCCCCCCCAGAGGGTCCCCTTGGCACCCAAGTGGGCCGTCCGAGGGCTTCTCAAGCTCCCACGCTGGCTGGGCGAGGGCTCCGAGATAGCTCCAAGTGGTTTCCAAGAAGATGCTCGCAGAGCAAAACGGATGGCTCCTGCCATCGTCGTCGTGATGCACCTCATCGTCCTCGTCCTCGTCCTCTTTCATGTCGCCGTCGTTCCGCCCCTTTCCCTTTCCATCCTGCTTCTACTCTTGTTTCTCCTCCTCCTCCTCCTCCTCCTCCTCCTCATCATCATCACCACCACCACCACCATCAGCATCACCATCATCATCAGCATCATCATCACCATCATCATCATCATCATCATCATGAGCAGCATCATCATCATCATCAGCATCATCATCATCATCAGCAGCATCAGCATCATCATCGGCATCATCATCATCATATCATCAGCATCGTCATCATCATCAGCAGCAGTAGCATCATCAGCAGCAGCAGCATCATCATCAGCATCATCATAATCATCATCCAGCTCCGCACACTTCCCTCTTCGCCTTCCTCCCTCTCCCCAGTCTTCCTTCTCCACGTTCTCTATTAACCCTCCCCCTCCTCCTTCTTCGACAGCAGGCTCAGCGATACCACGCCTGGGCATGTTGACGTTGATTCCGAGGGATGCTCCTTCTCATCCTTGGTTGGGGCAATTCCTCTGGCGATCGTCTCTGGAAGGGCATGCGCGCAGCGTGAACCAACCTTTTACCGCCAGGAATGCGAAACTGTGGAACGGTTACACGGATGGAGGGAGGCCCCTGTTGAAAATGGAGCTACCGTCCAAAGCGTCCTGAAACAGACCGCCAGGAACATCAAACTGCAGAACAGCTACACGGAAGGGCGGCGAGTCCTTTTCAAAATGGGGCTCTCGCCTGAGCCTGCAACGTTCACGGAGGCGGCGCGGTTGTTTTTCCCAAGTCGAGACCGTAGCTCGACACTTCTCTGGAGATCATGGCACCACCCTGTCGCCTTCCCTGTAGCTGGGGGGATGGAAGGCACGTCCATTTCAAAGTGGAGCACCCGCCTGAATTACTGGCCCATGCAGCGGCAGTCTTTGCAAGGGGTCGCTTCGCGCAATGAAAAACCATACGTACAAGGACTTGTGAGGAAAGGACTTGGGACGGGAAGGCTTTCTGTTGCAGAGTGGTTGGTACTTCTTGGAATTGCTCTAGTACTCCCCATCACCATCGCCATCACCATCATCGTCCTCATCGTCCTCGTCACGATCACCGCCAGCCATAATTCGTGTTCCTCCTCCTCATCCTTCTCCTCGTCGACCTCCCCCTCCTCCTCCTCCTCATCGTCATCATCATCAGCATCATCATCACCATCATCATCATCAGCATCACCAGCACCAGCACCATCACCATCACCATCACCATCATCATCATAATCATAATCAGAATCATCATCAGCATCAGCATCAGCATCAGCATCACCATCATCACCAAAGCATTCATCATCACCATCCTGATCATCATCAGCAGAAGCAGCAGCATCACCATCGTCACCAGAATCATTCATCATCACCCCCTCCTCCTTCCGCCCTCTCCCCCTCCCCCCGAGAGGGCCAGGAACATTTCCAGAGGCCTTCCCCCCAGCGGGAGCACGCTTACCGCCGCCCGCCTCGGGAGCCGCTGGCGCCGCCTGCTCCGCAGGGGGGTCCTTGAAGGGAGGGAGAAGGAGGAGGAGGAGGAGGAGGAGGAGGAGGAGGAGGAGGAGTAAGAGGAGGAGGATGAGGCGGAGGACGAGGAGCAGGAGCAGGAAGAGGAGGAGGAGAGCGACCAAGACTGAACGCGGAAACGCCGTGTCGATCTTGGTGACCGTCGGTCTCGGTCAGCGCAAGTTCGTGGATCATCCTCACGAAGTGGCGACAGCCGACATGGACCATGACCAAGGCTGGCATCGACAGAATCCCTCGACCATCCTCGTCGTGGTCTCCGTCTTTCCTCCCTCGGGTCCTGGACTCTCCTCTTCTTGGACCTCCCCGCCGCGGGCTGGCCCTCGGCGCCGGGGGCCTCGGCGGCCGCCTCGGCGACGGCGGCGAAGACGACGGCAACGACGACAGCGACGGAGGCGGGGACGACGACGAAGACGACGGCGGCGGCAAAGACAAAGACAAAGACGACAAAGACGGCGAGGGCGACGGCGAGGGCGACGGCCAGGGGCGGCGGCGACGACGACGGCGGCGGCGAAGTTCACGTGCGCACCCCTTCTGGACCTCCCCGCGGCGCCCCGATCGCCCCGGCAATGCCCGCCCGAAAACTCTCGCAACAAGCGCGCCCCAAGACGAGTCCGGGGGCCAGAGTTGGGGGAGGATGCGGCGGCGAGGGAGAAGATGTACGGCGAGGGAGAAGATGGACGGGGAGGAAAGAGGCGAGGGAGAAGATGGGCGCCGGAGAAGATGGACGCAGGAGAAGATCGACGGCACCGGCGGCGAGGGAGAAGATGGACGGGGAGGGGGAGGGGCCGCGGGCCGTGGCGCCCCCTGCAAGGGCGGAGGAGCCCGAGCAGGAGGTCCGGCTCAGTATAGAGGCAGGGGCCAGGCCCCTGACCGGAGGAGCGCCTGCAACGTGAGCGACGATCGAAAACGGGTCTTACCCTCCTCCTCCCTCCTCCTCCTCCTCCTCCTCCTCCTCCTCCTCCTCCTCCTCCTCCTCCTCCTCCTCCTCCTCCTCGTCCTCGCCCCGCAGCGCCAAGACCACGAGCCCGTGGAAGAACTGTGCGGCCGTGAGGGGGGGGCAACAAACACGAAACGGGGTCGGCACCCGTTCTGGGACGCTTACCCGCCTCGAGCCTGCGGACCGTCCTCCGCTGGTTCGCTCAGGTGGAGGAGCTTCGGCAAAGCCTGTGCACAAATGAACGAGCGGAACGAGGGGCCCCGCCGTGCCGCGACCACCGCATCTGCGGCAGCAGAGCAGCTCCCCGAAACGAAACCAGGTATGGCCCAGAGCCTCGTCCTGAGGAAAACGCTCGGGCCCAGGATCCTCGGGAGTGGGCGGCCCATGGGCCTCCCCTGACCCTGAGACTTCGTCCTGGGCGAGCCACCCAGCGGCCTCAAAGCAGCTTGAAAAGCGCCCGCTCAAAACACATCGAACGTGCTTACATGAGCACTGAACCACGCAACGATAATTTCGCCAGCCTCTGAACTAGAGAGGCAGGCATTGCTTGGCGGCGCTCTGACTAAGCATGGCATCGAAGGAAAGTAGAGATCGATCCCATCTGCTGCAATCGTGGCATCTCCACTCCAAGCAAGCTCAGCACTATGATAATGCCAGATCGCGTGGCTGGTGACCGAGAGGGTGGGTGGGGGCGAGGGGGCTGGAGCGAGGCAAGAACCTCTTCTTGGTCACCAGCCCACCTCTGGTTTGCAGCACACGTTGTGCCGCCCACACCAAGAACTCAGTAGTTGCCCCATAATACGAACACTCCCCTGCCAGACCCAGCGTCGCTAAAAAATCAGCCCTGACGTTTCCAGCCCAGCGCTACAAGGAAACACCTTTACCGATGGCCTTGTCAATGGTCAAATGGGCGGGGAACCAACAACCGGGGGGGGAGCGCGCCCTTGATGGTGCCTAGAAACGTCAGCCCAAATCGACGCCTGCCGAGCACTCCGAGAGAGCCTTCACGATCCCAAGAGTTATTTTCACGCGCAGAAGCCTGAAGTCTGAAACAACGCTGCTGGAGCGTGCCATCAAGTCTGCCTCACGGCCTAATGCTACGCGCGGCCGATGGTTTGGTGGGCTCCAGGCAATGCTCCACATGCCGCTCGAATAGACAAGAGAGGCGAGCTGGAATACAGACCATCCCGCTCACGACAGGCACGATGGACTGCAGGAAACTCACGTCAAAAAAACCTTCGGGCCCGACTTGACGGTGGGCCCATATAGCCTGAACCTCAACCGACAAATTAAGGACCCCATATGTTAAAAAAGGTGGTGCCCACTTGCGGCTGGACAGCGAAATCGAGGGAAGAGATCCTGAAGGCCTCACAAATGGCTCAGAAGGACAGCAGGCACGGGCTCCCCCAGCACGTCTACGTCGTCGTCCTTGATGGGAGAGAGCATCGCAACAGTACCATAGGTGCCCACAAGAGCCACCAGGGGCCTTGCATACTCTAGAATACGTGTCGATATCGTATGATTGCGCCTCCCTGGCAGCTGGCAGCGGCACAGCATCTGCCCGGTCAGCGGAGAGTGCCCCCAGTGGTCGAGGACAGGCGAAGGACTTGAGCTCCCCACGCAGAGCCCTGTGCCAAATAGGCTGGTAACCCGCATAGGCGTTCCCATGGGTTTGAACAGCCTCCAGTGCTGATACCGCTGGATACCTCCAATCATGCCGAGCCTCGCGCCAGCAGGGCATGTGGTCTAAAAGTGAATATGCTGGCCCAGAGGTCGGTTACGTAGATGTGAGCAGCACTCATGGTCCACCCAATTCTGCGCAGAGTAATCCAGCAGGCCGACATGCGGTCTTCTTCACGATCTGCCACGTAGGGTTGTCTTGCATCTGCTGCTGGGGAACCGTCCAGGCCCTCTGGGTCCTGCCTAACCTGATTCGACCATCCCAAATCCAAGAGGAATACTTGACGGCAATTCCAGGGGTGCAAACGTAGATGTGGTCGCAAAGCGGACCTCGATGGGCCAGCAGGTAGGCGGTCACACCGCCATGTTTCTAGCTGCCAGCCAACGCAGAGGCCACGTGCCTAAGGTCCCCGAGCGCCACATCAGAAACGCCTGCAACGGGCCCACAGTGGCCGGCGGCAGGAAGGGCGCCAGTACGACGCAGCAGTGGTAAGTGAAACTGTGCGCCCAACTGCGCCTCGTAGCGCCATATGTTTCCGCTTCCTGGTGGTAATAGGTTTGAGTCTAGACTTCTCCTGCAACAACAAAAAGTTCGGCCCAGCCAACTCGTGTCCCAGATTCCTCATCCAAGGTCAAAACTTCAACCCCATCTGCTGAACCCCTCGAGGGAGTCAGAGAAGGGGGGCCGAGGGAGGAAGGAGGAGGAGGACGGGGAGGGAGAGAAAAGGAGGGGAGGAAAAACGTGAAGGGTGAGAGGGACGGAAGGACAGAGGGGGAAGGGGAGGGAGGGGGGAGGGGAGGGGAGGGGAGGGGAGGGGAGGGGAGGGGAGGGAGGGGGGAAAGAGGGAAAGAAAGAGGGGGCGGGGGAAAGGGGGACGGAGGGAGGGGGGAACACCAGCAGGGAAAGCCTCTTCCTCATCCTCCTCCCCATCCTCTTCCTCTTCCTCCTCTTCCTTCTCCTCCTCCTCTCCTCCTCCTCTTCCTCCTCCTCCTCCTCCTCTTCCTCCTCCTCCTCCTCCTCCTCCCCCACCCCCACGTTAACTCGGAAGCAGTTCGGGGGGCGATCCTCATTAACACGCAGAAGACCGAGGGGACCAGACACGAAAGGGACGTCGGGCTGGGCTCCGCGGAGAAGGCGGACAGGCTCATGAGGGCCCACCAGGAAGCAGCTCCTCGGAAGCCACACGCCGAAACGTTGGCCCGCTCAGCCTCATCGGTGGCAAACCCGAACAGGGCCAGACCTTGTCTGCAGATCCATGCCCGGGGCCCCCCTGCAGCATGCACTCATACATTTTTACTGGCAGAAGCGCGCCCCCCCCCGTCCCCGAGCCCTCACTCCTACCCACATCCTCGGAGGCCTCGAGGAAGGGCCACCACAAGCCAGCCGCGATAGCGTTCAGACCGCCAGCACCGCGAACGGCCAGCGGGGAGCTCGGGAGGAGGCGTTCGCCCTGGGCGGCCCTGTTGGGGTTCTTTCCGCCAGTGACCACTCGGCGACCAGTGGGGCAAGAGCTTGAGCCGACTCTTCTCGCGGCACCTGCTGCCCCAGGACTCGTTGCTCCCGCACCGAGAGCAAAAAGGTCAACGAACCAATGTGGACTCCACAATCGAGAACCTGACCGCGACGATCTTGTGACCATTCCACTTCCACGGCTGGGGCGCAAGCTCATTCTGGACGGACGGGACTTCCACCTTACTTCTTGGCTCGGGCACGTCGGACGCAGAGGGGTCGCCAGAGATGGGGAGACCTGGGATCTGCCCCAACTCAGCGAGACTCACCCACTCGAAACCCACGTTTGTACACATCGGAATCAAAAATGCGAGCTTGATGAAGACCATCGATTCCGGCAGCCCGCGTCGCAGACGCTTGACACACGCCAAGAACAAGCAGCTCGGCATCCCCTGCACTGGAATGCTGGGCACCAAGCTGTACGAGTCGGCGCACCTCTTGGCTCCCTCTCCAATGTCGATGAGACACTGTTTAAAAGCTGCCCGTCTCATGGTAAAGGCGCGAACCAACTGGCTCGAGCTTGACACCGCGGATAGGGTCTCTACTTTCAGACAGCCACGAGCGCGGCGGCTTCGGACGCCAGCCAACGGCGCCGAGCTCGCTCGCGCATGGAAGCGTCGACACGCAGCCAATGTGAACCGGGATCACAGCCGATGCCAACGCGCGCAGCGACAACTGCAGCACTGCAAAGCACTCTCCACGTCTTGAAAACTGGCCGGGCCCCTCCGCGGGAGGCACATCTCCAGGCCGAGCAGAGACCACACCGCCGCCGGCGCCCGCGGCGACGGCGGGCCGCCCCGCCGCTCGCAGCGACAGCCACGCTGCGTCTCTCGAAGCCCACGCCGTCGGGGCGCGAATGCCTGCCAGACGCAGTCGCCAGCCGGGGCAGCGTGGCAGGCCGCCCCCCCGCTGCAGCACAGAGAGGCCCCCCGGGGCGCCCAGGGGCAGCGCCGGCGCAGTCGCCGGGGGAGGGGGGACTCGGAAGCAGCGCCAGGGCGGGGGCGTCGGCCCGGGGGGCGGCCTCGCGTCGGGGGCGTCGTCGGGGGAGGACGCCCGGGGCGGCCTCGTGAGGGGGGCGCGTCGGCCCAGGGAGGGGGCGGCGTCAGAGCCGCCGTCGGTGGCGGCATCGGGGGCAGAGCCAGGATGGAGGGGCCTGACGCGAAGGGATCCAAAGTGGACAAAAACCCGAAGCCACTCGCAGGATCAACGTCTCCGAATGGCTACATCGATCCACCTGCCTGTCTGACTGGATGCCTGTAAGCACCCAGGAGGCGCCCATTTTTTCGGGAATGTCATAAGCTTTCGACTTGGCCTCGAAACGTGTCTTCCAATATGTTCGACACTTACTGGAGCCAAGAAAGCCTAAAACTACCCAAAGCCTGACCGAGATACACCGCCCACTCCTCGCTTTCGAGGCCCAAACGTACGCACAAGTCATTTTCGATGTAGACAAACCATGTCGCACTAGTACGAGCACTGCCGTGGATAAGCTGGAACCACCTTGTCTGTAGTACATGTTCTGGGTCCACGTTCTCCACCACAGAAACAAGATAATCAAACAAGCGTGTGCTATCACCCGTCGGCCTAGCTTGGCTACGGCAGTAGACCCACCAGGAAGG